GAAAGAGCAGTTACAGAGGGCAGAGAGGACGTTAATTCTGTGTAGCCAGGAAGAACCCACCAAATCAATAAATATACCTTAAAATCAAGCCAAGTTACTTGGATAAGAATTGAGAAAATGAGGTAAAATCACAAACTTGCATTGCAGAAATGAGGCATGCCGACATACGGTGCATACCAAAAGAGAAGGGCTGGTCCAAGCAAGAAATATAAATTACATCCATAAATACTTTAAAAGCTTTGTGTGAGTCTCTTCACATGGCTGTAACTGTGTCCACATTCTCTTAAATGCATGGATTTCTACATAAATATGGGTTTAGTGTTGCAAAGACTATACACAAGGCAGCCAAGCGGAAAAGAAAGGGGGGAAGTGAGCCTCTGGCATTTTCATGAAAGAAGAATAGGTACCCTGTAATTAAGGGAATGCTAGCATCAGAAGTACAACTACACCGTCGTGTGTGGTCCTTCATAGTTCACAGATTGATCAAATCAAGTTTCATGTGAGGGATCTCTTTTCCTGTGTTCAAATAACACAAGCTTTTGTGGAAGTCTTGGTGTAATGCTCACGAAGCACTGCACTGAATGCATGCAGGCGGCTGGCAACACAAATATCGTGACATAAATACAGTTCATTATATTGAACTAATATTCAATAAGTTCAGGAAGCTGATAAAGCTAGCTAAAAAGAACATATCATCAATAAAGAATGGAAAGAAAATATATTAAACTATACTGTGAGTACTGGAAACTTGTTTGTACAGCAAGAAAGAAATTTGGTACTTTACAGATCCCTTCATCCCTAGCCTCAAGACCAAGATTACTTATGAACTGTAGCAAGAAAAGACAGCTTTATTTGAAGTGTAACAGTATCAAATTAAGCTTTCATTTCAAGAAATTGTTATCTCAGCATCCCATCTAAGTTCTTCTCTTCAGTAAATCAGTATCTGAATTATCTTTTGTGGACCAGACTCTTCAGAACTTTGGCTGATATAAAATTAGGTGGTGAGTCTTCAATGTTTAGCAAAGTTACTTTATTAGCAGTAAAACTGCAGTGAACATTCGTTGAAGTGTTTAAGCACCATGCATTCTCGACAACTTTTTCCCCCAAGAGTGTATGGCCATTTTTTCATGGAAGTAACAAAAAGACCCCAAAATCCAAACATGAAAGCATACTTCTTTGCAGAACCTATATGCATTTATTTCACAACTCCAGGATGCAGAGAGGAGGAAAATGGCAAAAAAAGAACCACTCAAGAAATGCCAACCTGTTTTCCAACCCCCATAATCTCACTTTAGCTTCCTCCCACTCACAACCAGTGAAAATCCCACAGTGGGAAACCCTTATTGGAAACACAGGAATGGCCAGAAGATGTTTAGGTCAGCGTATGACCCACCAGCTTCTAACACCACAGTCTGCCTAGAGCCAGCGTATCAAACCACAGCTACTTCTTGATGAAAAAGTGCAGGGAGAAACTTGCCTTGTGGGTCAGATAGCACTTGCCCCTCAACGGGATGAATGCTTTCACCCTCCATGCAACAGCTATCCTGAACCTGCTCCACAAATGAGCTATTGTTTACTGAGAAACAACTCTTCAGCCAAGGTATAACGCATCTCGCTTTTCTCTTAGCAAGTCTTTGCGAATACACAAGCATCTCCATTCCAAAGTTGCCGATTTTGTATGAAGCTACAGTTTAATATTTCAAGCATGTCTTATACCATATCACCCTCATACCCTGACCTGCTACCCTAAGCTAAACGGCCAGGCTCAAAGAAACCTTTGTGAATTTGTGACAGCCACCCCTGACTCTTTTCATTCTCCCTTGCATGTTCCTGTCAGGATGGGCACACTCACAGCAACACTGCCTGCAACAGACCTGTAACTGATCCTCCAGATCATTTACATTGCCCTCCTTTCTACTGCTCAGGATTAACACTGAGATACTTAACCCCTGTTCACTGTTTAGTCTGTTGTCATCCTCGGATCTCAACCAAGTGAGTGCTGGCTCTAACAAACCTCACCTGCAAACATAAGCTGTAAGTACTTTGCTGGATAGCCTGAGCAGCACTGCTGCATGTGGCTTCATGGCAAACCATGCTGAATACGCATATACGTGTGGTAATTTTGCAGAGTTTAGCAGGACTTTGGATTAGGCAGATCAAGCTTTAAAGCTAAAATACATTAAATGATTGTACAAATATGCAGGGGCCAGAAACCGTACCTAAGTCTGGAATTCTCAGCAGTGACCCTGAAGCCCTTGCTACACTCTGCTATTAGACAAGAGTTTTATAACCATTACTTTGCCATTTCAAGGCAAAAGGCATTTGGACTGTAGGTAGCTCATACCTAGTTAACGCAAAGTTTTCCTGCAGGGAGGGAGCTAGTGACTTCTGCCAGGAGGTCCCTTACTGAGCACAATTCGGGGCAATCGTTACAAGGTAATGGCTTGTTTCTTCCCCCCTCATACAAGTCCATGTGAGTTCTGCACCAAAACTTGTACAGCAGCAGCTTTGTGCTAGGGATGATGGGAGAAGCGAAGATGTTTAGAAGATGCTTTCCAATTAGTTATCAGTGTTTGTGATGTGCTCCTGAGAGGCAAAACTCTTAATGCATCACCAGCTCAACTTGGTTGGTCTGTTTACAGCAGGACAATTGCATGGGATCACCAACTCAACTTGGGCAGTCTGTACAGCAGGACAACTGCATGAGATCACGAGGGCAACCCACTGGACCCTCAGGTCGTACATGTGCTATGCAGTCACCAGGCTTCTCAAATACTGTTGGAGCACACAGCCCACCCCACCAGGGCCTGACATGCCACATTCCTCCTCCACCTTGAAGAGATGAGGATCATGGGCTTCTCACAGAGACTCTCCAAGACTTAAGTCCTCTTCCCCCAAAACTGCCACTGTCTTGATGATAAATTTCTCTCCAGCTGCTGGGAGCTGTTGGAAGCTACGGCCAACCTGACCCTTATCCCTCAGCAGAAGCAGGCCTTTTGGGCATATTCCTCACCCCTTGTCTCCAGTAGGCTGACATCTGACAATCCTCACACTGCCAGAATCCCTCACCTGGAGCACTGAACTGTCCTGTGAAGATCTGTCACAGGAGGACAGATGGATGGAAGAAACCATCCCCTTCACACTTGTCTTCTGTTGCAGTCCACACAACACTGGCCAGCAGAGGCTGGGAGAGATTAAAACCAGTGGAGGTTTTGGAAAAGTCTGAGCACTAATGTTACTTACGGCTTTAACTGCATCCGAACGCCCTGTCCTGCAGCATTCTCAACATGAACAACTAACTTTCTGAAAGCTGTATTTCAAACTGTTGCTTGCTTGGTTTTGCTGCACTTAAGGCACTATAGTCCCTAGCGCTAATTTTCTTGCACATGTAAACTCCACACTGATGTTTCTTTTTAAACTTGCAATTTATCTATCACTTGCTTATTGACTGCCCCTTTTGTATTGAACTGGGGGGTTTTGTTGTTTATTTCTGGCTTATTTGGTGTTTTCACTGCTAATTTGTTTGAGGTTTTTTGTTTTTGTGAATTGCTTTTCTTGTGTTTTTCATTCCTGGTCAGATCACTTCTGTATCTGAGTTACTACCAAATTATTTCTTTTGTTTGGCTAATTTCTGTCCTCGCTGAATTTTAGTCCCCTGCCAGCACCTTGGCACTGCCCTTCTGGTTAACAGATTTGCTGGCTGATTTAGGAAGGCACGTTGCTGGATGTTCCTGAAATAATACCTGACTTTTACAGAGTAGACTTCTCAAACACTATGAGGGCAAGTGATGGCTAACATTCATCCACAATCTGTTGACAGAGGAGTCTCATTGTGACTTTCAAAGCTCCACTATCCCAACTTGCAGTTGACAAGCCACCTGCAGTAGAACTGGTCAGCCAGTTTCAGACTGCAGCAACAGCCACTTCTGCCTGATGCTGGGCTCCTCTTCATACTCTGATGGCTGAAGGCAGAAGAAGCCCTTCAGGAACTGAAATGTCTGCTCTCACCTGCAGAAAGTCTGTGGCTAACACCACTGGTTCTGCTGTGACTACAAAATGATGTGATCCTACTGCTGTGCTTCTCGTTTCACTTTACAAATCTACAATTTAAATTAGGTCAGCATCGACAGCTTTTATCAGGTTAACAAAACCTATCAGAGATGCCTGCATTTCTGTTTCAAATACCTGCAGTGACCTGTGGTCACTAAGTT